CCCCCAACCCCCCCCCCCCCACACACCCACACACACACACACACACACACACACACACACACACACATACATACACACTTCTTGTAGACTTTAATGGGGTTCACTGCAAAGTGTTCAAACTTTGAGCAATACGTTTGAAAACTTGGGGTTGGTTTACTAAAGACAAATTGGCTTTTCACTTTGCAACGCAATTTTCCCTTAGCTTAGTCAATGTAGTAAAGTTCACTTTGCAAGGAATACCCACACATTACTGCAAGGTACAGGTTTAAATCCAAATTTAGAGTTGTTCCATCAGCCATTTTGTTTTGTTTAACCTGTCTAGAAATTGCTCCTATTAGCAATTCATAGGTGCAATTTTGGTACCGTAATTGTACTATTAAAAATCATCTGGGTAAACTGATCTCCAATGACCAAGTCGGATTCATTCCCTTGAGAGAGGCAGGGGACAACATTCGTAAAATAGCCTTACTTACGCACGTAGCCCACAAAACTAAAACCCCTGCCATGCTGATGACACTGGATATCAAGAAAGCGTTTAACACAGTCTCTTGGCCTTACATGTTCTACACTTTGGAACGGTGGGGCTTTGGTCCACGCTTCCTTACATTGATATCCTCCCTATATAAAAAACCCATAGCACACGTCAAATATGCGGGCTATCGCTCACCATCCATCAATATCCAACGAGGTACTAGACAAGGCTGTCCACTCTCACCCCTTCTCTTTGCCCTAATCCTGGAACCACTAGCTCAGAAAATACGTAACTCCCCCGATATATCGGGCATACATCATGAGGGTAAATCCCACAATTTAAGCCTCTTCGCTGATGACGCTCTATTGTTTCTCACCAATCCCTTAATCTCCCTGCCCAACCTAATGTCAATCCTCTCCTCTTTCGCTACCTTTTCAGGCCTCCAGATTAATGATTCCAAATCGACAGCACTGAACATCTCCTTGCCTCCAGGGTTACTTGAATCTATCCAAAGACAATTTCCATACCCCTGGGACTCTAAGCACCTCCTGTATCTGGGGATAAAATTGACCAACTCTTACCACACCCTATATGGAGCCAACTATACCCAAATGGTTAATACTTTTAAACGTCTTCTAAACACATGGACCACATACCGGCTTTCATGGCTGGGCAGAATAGCAGCCGTGAAAATGACCCTTCTACCTAAAATCCTATATCTATTTCGGGTCCTTCCAGTAGCTGTCCCCACGCAAATTCTCAAAACTCTACAATCCCTCATTTTCCGTTTCCTGTGGGCAGAAAAATGCCCCAGAATCTCAAGACGCACAATGCACCTCCCAAAAATCAAAGGTGGGTTGGCAGTTCCCAATCTGACCACTTATTATCAGGCAGCCCAAATAGCACAAATTGCCCAATACCACTCGACTCAGGAAACTCTGCAGTGGGTTGAACTGGAAAATTCCCTGGCCCAGCCTGCTTCGGTGTCTAATCTCCTGTGGATACACAAGAAACAGAGGCCTGCCATATCCAACCCAATCACATCCCAATCCCTCCACATTTGGGACTCTGTGAAGACTGTGCATCGCCTCCTTTCATGCCACCTCCCATTAATGTCCATTCTGCATAACCCCACATTCCCCCCAGCTCTAGATAACCCTACAGTATTTTCTGCCTGGTCCGCTCACAATCTGACTTACCTTTGGAAATTCTATTCGGCCAGGGGGATAATTACCTTCCCAGAGCTCCAAGAAACATACCACCTCCCGATTAAAGAGGTATTTCGTTACCTACAACTCAAAAATTATATAATAACCATAGCGCCAAGGGACGGGAGCTTTACATGGTTTGAAAGGATCTGTAGTGATGATCCACATCGACCGGGTCTTATCTCTCTTATATACTCTACCCTTCTCACTTCACCTGATGCACCCCCACCCTCACACACCTCCAAATGGAACCAGGATCTGAATACAATCATTGAGGATGACAAGTGGAATAAAATTTGGGAGAACACCAAATCTAGTGGGTGCAAATGTTTAAAAGGTAGTCTGTCAGCTCATAGAAGCAGCACATTCATTGAAATAAATTCAATGGAAAAGGAACATTTTAAGATGATTGTTTTTATGTTTAGCTGCACCTACAAATATATTTTAGGCCATATTATTTATATATATATTTATATATTTTAGGAATATGCAACCTAAGGTACCAGGGTGGGCATGCAAAATAATTTGCGTGGGGCACCCAGAAGATTGTAACATGGTATGGGTGCAGGGCCCCTGCTCCCTACAAACACAGTGCTTCTGCCAGAGGTTGTGATTGACAGCTCACTAGGCTGTCAGTTACAAAGCCTGGTCTGGCCTGCCTATCTACACTTATGTCCCACCCACCTTTACAATGTTTCAGAGGCTTGCTTGATGTCAATGACATTTATGTGCCGGGCCTCCTCCTAGTTCCAGCATAGGCCAGCCTGTGACTTCAAACGTTGTTGCGTGTAGAAGCCCAGCTGCCTACCCTCTTCCTCCTACTAGCATAACCGCTAGCTGCAGCAGGTATGAATATAAAGCCACTGCATTTCTGATGGTGCAGGAATTGGGGCAGATCTAAGGTCTACAGCTTGCTATTGTTCACTGACACGCGAGTTGTCTAATGCTTATAAATTGACACTTACGGGACTATTTATAAACAATTCAGAGCCATTTGTCCTGTGAAACTCTGTGAACATTTGTTCTGCGCAAACAGAGGCACAAAATTAACATTCTTAGCAAATTTTCTACTTTTCTACTTAGCAAAAGTAGAATGCTATATTAGGGAAAATTCCACATTATGGCCACTAGGTGGAGTTGAGGAGCACAGACAATAAGTAGTTCTTTCTATGTTCCTCAGCTCCATCTAGTGGCCATAATGTGGTACTTTTTTATATTACATTCGACTTGAAAAGAAAATATATTAGAAACATTTGTTTTTGCCTCCACTCGCACAGAACAAATGTTCATAGATTAAATGGCTCTTCAAATTGTTTATAAAAACACACCTTAATGTGGAAAAGGTTGCTGACCCCTGATAAAGATTGTCAAATTCTTCAGAATATGGAAAGATTACTATAGTCTTTTTTTTCCAGTCTCAGCAATCAGTACACACAGATGAAACATAACATGCTAATACCCTCTAAAATTGTACAAAGAGGATTAATTTCCAGACCAATGGCACTCAAAATATTTATTTTCATGTGCGGAGTGTAGAAGGGGCTCTGCCAGGCAGGCTGTGTCTGCCAAGGATTGGGAGCTTTTCCTGAACAAACACACTCAATGCTTTTCAATGGAACATGAAACCAAGCACTTCACTCAGATGCGTGTCAGCTTTCATCAGGACTCAATACAAGCGGCTTGACTCTTGTGTAGATAAGGTTTCAAGCACTTTTCAGAGAGCCTCTTTATCCCGTAAAAATGAAGACACATTATGGGTGTTATTAAACTATTGTGCTGGTGTAATATGCTGATAACGTGCAGTCAATGAGCAGCCAAGCTATTTAATAACGCTTTCTCTGATTGCGTTTCCTTTGTAATGGGATGAGATGCTGCAGATTGTTGAAGCCTTTAGATGCGGATACGGCAGGTCGCTGATCTTGCAGACACTCCGCACTAAACTGCTTTGTGACAACCATCTTTGTCAGCTTGTGGCCATACAAATAACAACAAAACCGAAGCCAAAAATATTTGTTTTATTGCTCATTCAAAAAATAAAGATATTAAACGACAGATAAAGAATAAAGATATTGTCATTCTACAACTAGGAACTAAAATAACATTTGAACATTTTACTCAGGGATTTCAGTCAGAAAACAGTTTAGTATTCAATAATGATTGGGTGAGTCACTAATGAATATGTATTTTCACTAATTAAATACTAAACTCAGGAGTTAAACCTTAAAAATACATTCAAGTACCTTAACTATTAACCCCTTCATGACCCATGACAGGTTAATCCCGTCATGAAGTTTGAAGGAGTTAAACAGACTCCCGGCGGGAGTCTTTTCAGTTTTGTAGAGCCGGCGCCGATTTTACAATAGAAGTGATTCTGGCGGCTCAGCTTCCACCAGATTGCTTCTACATCTGGTAACCGGGTCCCACCCCCCTGCCCCACACCCACTGCCACGTTTGTCAGGCTCCGCTGCCCCTCTTACGGGCCCAGGATCGGGTGGGAAGCTGGGTAGGAGATCAGTGAACGTCCATTCACCGATTTCCTTCCCATTCTATGGGACCGGGAGCGACGCGTATTACATCACTTCTGGTCCCATAGCTGTCAGTGCTAGGCTCCTGGAGCCCAGCTATAAGCTATTGAAGTGCGATCTGCACTTCAATATCTTATTTAGAGTGTAAAGCTGAT